AGGAACAAATCCTCAGGTAGGCCCTTCAAGAAGCGGGGTTTGGGGGCTGGAGCAATAGCACAGAGGGTAGGGCATTTGTCTTGTATGCGACCAACCCGGGTTCGATTCCCAACAACCCATATGGTCCCCTGAACACTGCCAGGGGTAATTCCTGAGTGCAGAGCCAGGAGTAACCCCTGTATATCGCCAGGTGTGACCCAAAAAGCAAAAAATAAAAAAGAAGCGGGGTTTGGGGAGAGTCAGGAAAGGACTCAGGGGACAAACCCAGAGAGAAACCTTAGTGAGGGAAACAGTGGCTGAGGATCAGGAGCAGAGCAGGGAGCCAGCCTCTGAGCTGTGAACAGGCTTGAGAGTAGCCCCTGTATTTCTGGGGGCTGGCCTACCCGTGGTGGCAGAAGTGTAAGAAAGAATGAAGAAATCAGTCAAGAATGATAAAGATAGAGGCATTATTTATTTATTTATTTATTTCCATTTAATCACCATGAGTTACACAGTTACAAAGCTGTTCATGATCAGGATTCAGTCATACAATGTTCCGACACCCATCCCTCCACCAGTGTACATTTCCTACCACCAATGTCCTGTTTCCCTCCCACCAGTCCCCCTCCCCGCAGCCTGCCTCTATGGCAGGCACTTTTCTTCTTTCCTTTTCTCTCTCCTTTTGGGCATTATAGTTTGCAATACAGATCTGAGAGGCCGTCATGTTTGATCCTTTACACACTTTCAGCATGAAGCTTCCATCCAGAGCCATCACTTCCAACCATCATTGTCATAGTGGTCCCTTCGCTAGAGGCATCCTTAAAGATTCAAAACCATTGGCCAAACAAGCAGAAGCAAAGGTAAACATGTAGAACTACATTGAATTAAGAAGCTTCTGACCTCAAAGGAAATGATAATCAGAATACACTGACATCTCCCACAGACTGGGAGAAAATATTTTTTGTTTACCACTCAGTTGATAAAGGGCTAATACTCAAAATAAATATAGAGCACTGGTAGAACTTTACAAGAGAAAACATACAACTCCATAAAAAAATGGGAAGAAGAGATAAACAGAAACTTTCTCAAAGAAGAAATGCAGATGGTCAAGAGGCATAAAAAAAAAAAAAGCTCTGCATCACTAATCACTACCTAACACTAGAGAGATTGGCACACATCATAAAGAACAAAAACAGGTTGTAGTGATAGTGATGCAGGTAGGGTGCTTGCCTTACATGCAGCTGACCTGGGGTTGAGCCCTGGCACCCTCTACGGTTCCCCAATTCCAGAGTGATCCTTGGGTGCAGAACTAGGAGTAAGCCCTGAGCACAGCTGGGTGTGGCACAAAAAATAAACAGATCAACAACACAACAATAACAAAAATTCTAAAAGAATAAAAACATAAAAACCACAAATGTTGACATGGATTTTGGGGTGTGAGGGAAAGGGACCCTCATCCACTACTGGTGGAATATCCACTGGTATAGCCTTTTTTGTTTGTTCATTTTTGAGCGTCACCCAGGAGTGCTCAGGGGTGGAGTGGTGGGGAACATTATGGGATGCCAGGGATTAAACTCAGGTCAAGGTAAGCATCCGACCTACTATACGATCTCTCCGACTCCCTGATCCAGCCTATTTGGAAAACAATATAGACATTCTTCGAAAAATTAGGAATTGAGCTTTATATGACCCAGCAATTCCACTTCTTGAAATATATTCTAAAGGCTCAGAAACACAATTTTGAGCCTTTGGGGTTTAAAGGCTCAAAAGCACAATGCATAAAAGACATTTACACTCCTGGGGCTTAGAGTGACAGTACAGCGGGTAGAGTGTTTGCCTTACATGCAACTGACCTGGGTTCAATCTCCAGCATCCCATATGATCCCCCAAGCACTGCCAGGAGTAAGTCCTGAGTGCAAAGCCAGGAGTAACCCCTGTGCATTGCCAGGTGTGACCCAAAAAGCAGAAAAAAAAAAGACATTTACATTTCTATGTTCATTTCAATACTATTCATAATAGCCCAAATCTGGAAACAACTTATTCAAGAACAGATGAATGGATAAAGAAATTGCCATGGAGGCAGGGGGAGGGTGGGAAAGGGGGGGTATACCGGGGATATTGGTGGTGGAGAATGTGCACTGGTGGAGGGATGGGTGTTTGATCATTGTGTGATTGTAAGCCAAACATGAAAGCTTGTAACTATCTCAAGGTGATTCAAGAAGATTTTTTTTTTAAATTATGGTACATGCACATAAAGGAACTGTAAGAACAGATGAAGTCGTGCAGTTTGCTGCTACATGGATGGAGCTGGAAAATGTCATGCTGAGTGAAGTTAGTCAGAGGAGAGACAGACACAGAATGACCTCTCGTACGTGGGATATAAAGAATCACAGTTGGGAAATAACAAATGCCCAAAGGCAATATAAATGAAGAACATGAGAACTGGGCTTCAGTCAGAAGCTTGCCACCATGGAGTGGGGATCGGGGGCATAGGATAGGGAAGGGATACCATGACAAGGAATATTAGAGGGAAGTGGTCACTCTGGAGGAGAGGCCGCTGCTGAAAGGAGGTAAAGTGATATGCATGAAACCCTATCAGTAACAGTATTGTGAACCGGTGTCTACAAGAGAAGAAAGAAAAGGGGCTGAAGCGAGCCATAGTACAGTGGGTAAGGCCTTGCATGCAGTTGACCTTGGTTCCATCACCAGCACCCGATACGGTTCCCTGAGCTCCGCCAGGAGTGATGTAGTGTATTGCCCCAAAACACAGACAAAAAGAATTGCCGACTTTAGAGGCTGGCTGGGGGTAGGAGGAAAACTGGGGGAATTGGTGGAGGGAAATAGATACTGGTGAAGCTTTTGTTGTTGGAACATTGTTTGCCTGAAATTCAAACATGAGTAACTTTGTAATTCAAGGTGCCTCAATTAAAAAAAAACCATTCAATGAATATAGGTGGAGACCAGGGACATTTTAATTTATTATTATTTTTTTTATTTTCCCCCCTCATGTTTGATTTTTCGTTTGGTGTCACACCCAGCAGGGCTTATTCCTGACTCTGTGCTCAGGGCTTGAGGGACCGTGTGTGAATCTAATTTGGGTCAGCCTTACCGCTGTACTGGCTCTCTGACCCTCTCTGTTGCCATAGTTGAGCACACTCAGCTGAGGTGCTCACAGTGCAGTCAGATACTTGACTGTGAAGATCACACACCCTTATGGCACTGGAAATCTCAACAGCAAGGCCATGGGGGTGCTCTGAGCATAGTGGTGCCAGGAATGGGACTTGGGCTCATGTCCCAGGAATGGGACTTGGGCTCATGTCCACAAGGCTGACTCTCTACCACTGAGCCATCCCTGGAAGCTTAGGGACATTGTAGTGGCGGAGAAACTAGGACAGGGGCAAAGGGAACATGCCACAATGTGACTGAGCGCTGGTCCAGGGTATAGGATGGTGGGGCCTTCAAAGTGCTGGAGAGATAGTACAGTGGATAGGGCACTTGCCTTGCACATGTCAATTTGGGCCAAGTTGGGTTTGATCCCTGGCATCTCCTATGGTCTCCTGAACAGCACCACAAGAGATTCCTGAATGTAGAGTCAGGAGTAACCACTGAGCATTGCCAGTTGTGGCTCAAAAACAAACAAACAAAAAACCCCTTTTTTTTTTTGGCTTTTTGGGTCACACCTGACAATGCACAGGGGTTACTCCTGGCTCTGCACTCAGGAATTACCCCTGGCAGTGCTCAGGGGACCATATGGGATGCTGGGAATTGAACCTGGGTTGGATGTGTGCAAGGCAAACACCCTACCCACTGTGCTATTGCTCCAGCCCCCCAAAAAACCATTTTTAAAAAAAAAATCCCCAATGTGTCTCTAGGAATTGGCTGCACCCATGAATCTTTTTTTAAAAAATTAATTAATTAATTTTTTTGGGGGGGGCTGGAGTGATAGCACAGCAGGTAGGGCGTTTGCCTTATACACAACCAACATGGCCGGCCCGAGTTTGATTCCTCCGACCCTCTCGGAGAGCCCGGCAAGCTACCGAGAGTATCTCACCCGCATGGCAAAGCCTGGCAAGCTACCCATGGCATGTCCGATATGCCAAACACAGTAACAAGTCTCAAAATGGAGACCTTACTGGGCCTGCTTGAGAAAATCGATGAACAATGGGAGGACAGTGAATTAATTTTTTAAAAAAAATTTTATTAGTAAAACACCGTGAGGTACAGTTATAGACTTACAAATTTTTGTGCTTGGGTTTCAGTTATACAATGATCGAGTACCCATCCCTCTACCAGTGCCCATTCTCCACCACCACTGATCCCAGTATCCCTCCCACCCCCCCCATCTCCCCCATCCCACCTTGCCTCTGTGGCAGGGCATTCCCTTTTCTTCTCTCTCTCCTTTTGGGTTCTGTGGTTTGCAAAAGAGGCATTGAGTGACAATCACGTTCGGTCTATAGTCTACTTTCAGCATGCATCTCCCATCCTGGGAGGATCCTCCCAAAACCTTTTGCGCCCATGAATCTTTACCCTGGCAATTACTGCTATTCATAAAATATTATTGAGTGCCCACTTGGTGCCAGGCTTGACGGTGCTGAGGTGGGTACCCTTCCTTGGTGCAAGGATTGGGGGTGCTGAGGTGGGTACCCTTCATTGCTCTGATTCCTGTGTTGTTTGGTGCTGAAGAAATATGTTGGAGGGGACTGTTATGGGGCCCCCTTCTCCTGGATGGCTCAAGCCTCTGGAGGATCCCTGACATTTATAACAACTCCCTATGGACCCACAAGAGCCTGAGGCCTTGTCAGGGCAATGGAGAAATCATTTCTTCACCTTGCATGTGAGACCAACATTAGTCGCTGCCCTGCAAGGCCTGTGAGGCAAGAGTGGGGCTGAGGCAAGTCCTTGACCACATGGTGGCAAGCGTCCACATATGGTCAGGAAGGTTCCTGGATGGGCCTTTGCATCAGTCTCAGGTCATGCATAAAGGAGGCTCCTTGGGCCAGAAAGAGGCAGTCTTGGGAACCATGGGGACCAACCTGGGAGGATGGTCACTGTTACTATTGCTGTTGGGCCTGGTGATCCCTCCAGCCTCCACCCAGGCCCTTAGCTACGAGAAGGCCATACTCCGTGCTGTGGATGCCTTCAACGAAGATTCCTCAGACCCCAACCTCTACCGCTTCCTGGAGCTGGATCAGGAGCCCACGGGAGTGAGTCAGGAAAGGGTGGGGGGAAGGAGTGTCTCTCCCTTTTCTCATACTCTGCATCTTGTCAGGGGTCATGGCTTCCTCCCAGTGTGGTCCCATTTCTCCTCAGAGTTGTGCCACTTGGTAGCGTGAGAGCTTCCTGCCCCAGAAATTCCTCTGAGGGGAGAGTTGCTCCCTCACTCGCACGCTGGCTTGCAGAACTTCTGGAAGTTCCAGGAATAAGAGTCGGGTCATTGGCTCTGGGAAGTCCCCTCCCTGCTCTGGGAATCCCTGACCTCCACTGTCTTCCTACCTCTCAGGGAAGGGTGCTGTCAGCCGGAGATCAGTAGCCTTGTTTTCTCAGCTCCCCACATTTGAGTTTGTCTTGGGTCTGCTCTTGGTACATGTGGGGAGGCCAGGAAGGCACTGTGTCTGCACCCCTGTCGCCCAGCATCAAGCCACAATGCCAGCACACACTGGGCTGTCGTAGCACTGCTCTCTTGGTGGGGGCCAAGAAAGAGCCTTAGGCCTGCTTCCCCCTTTCTCTCCTGACCAGGATGAGGACCCCAACATCCCACAGCCCGTCAGCTTCCTGGTGAAGGAGACGGTCTGTTCCAAGACAGTGCAGATGCCACTGCAGCAATGTGACTTCAAAGAGGATGGGGTGAGTCTGGGCATGTGGTACTGGCCTGCCGGAGACATCTCCAGCACTGGGGGAAGGCTGGGAGGTTGGAGCCCTGCGGGTCCATTAAACACAGGCCTCTGCTTCTCAGCTGGTGCAACGGTGTATGGGGACAGTCATCCTGGACCAGGTCACAGGGTCCTTCGACATCAACTGTGAAAAGGTGAGTGGCGTCTCCCAGGCTGACGAGTAGGTGATGGCTGAACCTCCATAAACCCATTAACCGCTGCTCTATCCAGGGCAGAGAAAGTGACTCCTGTCCTGGGTTCCCCCCTCATTCTGAACCCCATAGCTGACTTAGAAGCTGTGATTCCCCCCCCCTTTCTTTCTTTCTTCCTCTCTTCCTTCTTTCTTTTTCCCTCTTCTTTATTTTTTGGGTCACACTCGGTGATGTTCAGGGTTTACTCCTGGCTCTGTGCTCAGGGATTGCCCCTGGAGGGTTCAAGTGTACCAAGGATCGAATCCCGGTCAGCTGCATGCAAGGCAAAAGCCCTACCTGCTGGACTGTCTCTCTTTCTCTCTTTCACTGTCCCTTTTGCCCTTTCTCCCTTCCCCCTTCTTTTCCCTCTTCCCTCTTTTCCCTTCCCACACCCTGCAATTTGCTCTGAGTGTACCCCTGACTCTGAACTCAGGAGACCATGAGGTGCTGGGCACCAAACACAGGCCTCTTGCATGCAAAACGTGCTTATCTCCCAGCCCAGAGGAATGATTTTCAAAATGGGATTCTCACCTGGGAGCTTGTTAGAAAAGCAAATTCCCAGGCCTTCTGCACATTTGCTGAATCAGACTTTGGATGGGGCCCACCGATATTTATTTTATCAAACTCTGGGGGTTGAGAGTAGCTGGCTTGGAGGGCGCCCTCTGCCCATGTATCCACAGCATCCCTGTGGGGCCAGGAAGCATGACCCTGGAATAACCCTTGCCACCTCCAGGCTCTGTTTCCTTGCCTGTCTGTGGGGGTGTCTGTGGAGGTAGGGACTCGACCACGTGCTCCAGAGATCACAGCCTGAGTGGGAAGTGGAGCCGAGATGGGGGTGTCTGGGTTGGAGGGAGCTCAGGTGAACAGAGTCTTCTGTTCTCTGCATGCAGCTGCAGCAAGTGGGCCTGGGAGGATTCCTCAAGAGAGGCGCGCAGAAGATCCGCAGAAGACTGGGGAGAATTGGTCGGAGAATCAAGGATTTCCTTCGAAATCTTCGGCCAAGACAAGTGAGACTTGATGAGACTCTGGAGTCTAAAAAATAAATTCTTAGGAAAGCAATCTCCTCCAGGCTTTGATTTCACTTGTCTTGATTTTCTCACATATTACTATTAACTATTTCTTGCTTAATACTATTACTTATGGGGTGGGGGGTGGGGATGGTGGGAGGGATACCAGGGACATTGGTGGTGGAAAATGTATAGGTGGCAGATGGATGTTAGATCACTGTATGACTGAAACTCAATCATGAAAGCTTTGTAACTGTATCTCATGGTGATTCAATAAAAAAAAATACTATTACATATTACTTTTCTCACTTGTTACTGAGCCCTTAACTGTGGGTTTGGGTGATTGGCATGTGGGAGACAAAGTGTGTGTGAGAGAAAAGAGTGTGTAAGAAAGAAAAGGGTGCATGAGAAAAGTGTGTAAAGTGCATATGTGAGAGAGCATGTTAGAGATAAGAGTGTATGTGTGAGAGTTGTGTGTGTGTGAGAGAGAGTGTGTGTGTGTATGTGTGTGTGAGAGAGAGAGAGAAAGAGTGGAGAGAGAGAGAGACAGAGAGAGAGGAGAGGGGAATGGGGAGCTGTTCTACCCAGGAGGGCCTGGGGTGAGGCAGCAGAGCTCAGGGGTCCCAAACAGCATATCCATTCTTAGGACCCCTCTCCATACCCTTCATAGATCTCTTAACCTTCTCATTGGACACCCTTGGAGGAACTGGAGTCCACTCCATGTGCAGAGTGGGATGCTGGGCTAATGTCCCTCCTGCTGACATGGGGGGAGGGTGGGAGATAAAGGGGACAGGTGAGGGGGGCTGGAGCCCTCTACCTCAGGGCTGTTGGCTTGGCACTCAGGAATCACTCTTGGTGGTGCTCAGGGGACCTTATGGAATGCCAGTGCTGGAATCCAGGTCAACCTCATGCAAAGCAAGCACCCTACCCACTGTTTTATCACTCCAGTTCCCTTTCATTATTTAAAAATGCATCCAGGATTTTGTCTTTTATTCAGGTATGTTGAAATGAACATATCACAACCTATCAGGTGACCATTGACTTGATAAGATTGTTATTGCACCAGAAAGATAAGACAGTGGGTAGGGTCTTACAACGGCTGGCTCCAGTGCAATCCCCAGCACTGCATATGGTCCCCTGAACCCTACCAGGAGTGATCCCTCAGCACAAAACCAGGAATAAGCCCTGACCACAGCAGGTGTTGCCCCCAAGCCAGAAATAAACTAATAAAATCAATTTTGTATTAAAAAGGAAAAAAGTAGGGGCTGGAGCAACAGCACAGCGGGTAGGGTGTTTGCCTTGCACACGGCAGACCCAGGTTCGAGTTCCAACATCCCATATGATACCCCGAGCACTGTCAGGAGAGATTTCTGAGTGCATGAACCAGGAGTAACTCCTGTGCATCGCTGGGTGTGACCCAAAAAAGCAAAAATAAATAAATAAATAAATAAAAATAAAGAGTAAACAAAAATTCACTCTCTTTGGGTTGGGGGTGGTGAGGAGACTGTGTGCCTTTGTTCTGGTATAGGTTTTGGAAGGACGGAGTGAGCAAGGGTAGGTCCATGGGCTGACCAGATTTGGGACAGGTCAGTTTGAAGAATGTTGAGGGCTGGGTTTGTGTGCAGGGCCTGCTCCTAGTGAACCCTGAGGTTAAAGTCTCACCTGCACTGGAGGGTGTGTGGCTGAGGAGGGAATGGTTAGTGAGTTTGCATATTAAAGCATACTGGCAGAGTGACTGCAATCTCCAGGAATCCACCCACTCAGGAAAGGACAGTCTCTCCCTGTCCTGCAAGGCTCCAGAGGTGAAATATGTACACAAACAAGAAAATGAGATTAAAATTGGACCTCAGGACCAGAGACATAGAGATAGTACAGCAGGTAGGGTGCTTGCCTTGCATGTGACCTACCTGGGTTCAACCCCCAAGTCCCTGTCAAGAGTGATCCCGAATGCAGAGTCAGGAAGCCATGATCATTGCCCCAAAACTGGGAAAAATATTCCGTCTTCCTCCCCTGACCCCACTTCTCCCATGCCTTCTTTGTTGCTATCGTTGTGATACCAGGGGTCATTCCCAGGACTGGTTGTGGTGCTAGGAGGGTGCTGATCTAGTTCCAGAGCTCACACCCCGGGCTGAGTGCTCACTTAAGTCGTGGTGCAGGTTTGGGGGGTATGTGCATGTTTGGGGTCACACTCCTGGCTGTTCTGCTCACATAGCTTTTGAATTAACTGTGGTGCTTGCTGGGGTCGTGGTGGGACTCACCATGCCGTGGCAGGAGATCGCACATTTTGTCGTGAAACAGAGGGCCACAGATAGCAGAGTCACCAGACTCCACAGTGCCTGTGGCGGCACTGCACTGGAATAGAACTCCAAAGCCACTTGCCTGCAGGTGATTTTTTTTTTTTTTTAAATCACTGAACCATCCCCCAAGCCCTGACATTTTTTTTTTTAAGGTGGGGATGGCGCTTTAGTCACACCTGGCAGTGGTCAGGATCTAATCCTGACTCTGTGCTCACAAGCGACCCCTGGCAGTACACTGTGGATCCTGTATGGTTCTGGGGATCAAAAGGGGCGGGGGGTGGGGGGGAGGGAAGGAGGGGTGGAGTTTCCCTCTTAATGCCTCTATCTTCTGGAGATAAAGCACATCAAAATTCAGAGGATTCTTTGCCAAAGAAAGTTTCTTGAAACTATGTGGGTGGATTCACAAAGTGAATCCCTCTTGCTGTCAAAGGAATTGTTGCCTTTTAAAAGTGAGGACTCTACTCCTGGCACTGAACCACCCCTTGTTTCAGTCTCTCTCTCTCTCTCTCTCTCTCTCTCTCTCTCTCTCTCTCTCTCTCTCACACACACACACACACACACACACACACACACACACACACACACTTTTTGGTTTTGTGCCATGCCTGGTGATGCTGCAAAAGCACAGGCTCCAGCCCTTGGAGTCTTCTCCCTGATCCGGTATCAGGTTATTTTTTATTGTCAGTGCCAGGAATCAAATCCAGAGCCTTGCATATATAAGGGAAGTCCTTTACCATTGAGCCACCTCACTGGTCTTATACCAGGTATTTTTTTTTCTTTTTGGGTTACACCCGGTGATGCACAGGGGTTACTCCTGGCTCATGCACTCAGGAATTACTCCTGGTGGTGCTCAGGGAACCATATGGGATGCTGAGAATCGAACCTGGGTTGGCAAAGCAAATGCCCTACCAGCTGTGCTATCGCTCGAGCCCCTTATATCAGATTTTTAACTTCCACTTTCTGGCTAAAGATACTACTGGCTGTTTTGTTGTTGTATTGTTTTCTAAGCTGCTGTTGCAAGTTGACACAGGCCCTACATGAGGCTTGAAACTAACCTGTGTAGTTTCATTTGATGGACTTTTCTTAGAGCTCGGTGGTTGGTCCTGGCAAATGCATTGTGAAAGGAGATGCCTGAAGTCTAAGTGATACTTCTCCAGACCTTATATAAGCATGCTCCCAGTGGGGAAAAGGCCATGGTGAAGATGGGGCAGTAGGACAATCAGACTCCATCAACCCAATCAGCCATTGGTGGTAGCAGAGTCATTAGGAGAGTATGAAGATAGCTGGGAGGGCAAAGTGTGTGTGTATGAAGAGGTCCTCACATCAATTAAAGAGCTGGTCCAGGCAGAAGTGCTTACAGAAACTACCAACAAGCACACCAACTGCCTACCCCTGCAGGCCCAGTGGTTCTCAAGAGTCTTCCAAATTACAAGTGTCAGTGACTGATAATTACACAGAATGAATCTTGTGGCCAGCGGCAATGGGTGCCTTCATGGATGGACCCAGTACTTCCTTGCCCCTGGCACTTGATGCCAGTAATAAGAGGCAATTCCTGGCTTATCTGGGGGTCTTAGCAGCCACTGAGTACCACAATGGGTATTGTTAGGCTCTGACACTCCTACCATTGTTTACCACAGGTAAACAATGACATTAACCTCAAAGTTGATATTGCCCAGAAAAGAAATGACCTGAAAAGACAGGACCCTAACATCTGCAGGAGGAAGTAGCACAAGACCTTCTCTATGTGAGATCCATGAGATAGGGTCTGGGTCACAGCTTTTTGGGGGCTCTGAATTATCAAAGTTCTAAAAATGTTTACTCCTGCCTCATGGATGGATCCGCTAAATCAAAGGATGGTGGGTACACTGGGTCATGGCAGGTGTTCATTCTCAAATAAAGTTTATTTTTTTTGGGGGGGGCACATCTGACAGTGCTCAGGGGCTACTCCTGGATCTGTGCTTGCCCTGGTAGTGCTTGGGTGACGATGCAATGCCAGGGACTGAATTGGCATTATTACCTTTTGTCCTTCACAGCACCTTTCTTCCTCTTGACCTAATAGCTGTTCTGATGGTTCTGCCTTTACTCTCTATGGTGTATAATCCCCTGATGACAAAAGTTAAAGTATTTCGACCGGTCCTCCTCCATGGTCCTGTTCTGTACCCTTGTTTGGTTGGCTGTCTAGTTGCTTGGGCTGAGCCCTCCCAGGGCTTCCTCTCTCTGGAATTGGTAATCATTATGTTCAAGCTTTCAATGATATGGGCTTACAGCATTACAGGTACCGTAAGTCAAATATCATGTTGTAGGCTGACAATGTGCTCCTGGTTTTGGCAGGGAGGACAACATGATCAAGCAGTCTTCTTTAGGGGACAACACTATAGCTTTAGATTGCATGGGAGTCGCAGGGCCTATTCCTGGCTGGTGTTGCCCACGGCCAAGGGCCCTTCATGCCTTCATGTGTGAACATCAGTGGACCCGACAAGTTCATCAAACCTGTGCTCCTTAGATAAGGACAACCCTGTCACACAAGGCATGGTGACTGGTAACTCTTTCCAGTAACATTTCATTTTCACTCTGGGAATTATCTAGTATGTTTCCTTTCTCAACTCCCAGGTTGGGTCAGGGTCTGTGTTTGTGGGCATTTTAAGGTAATCTGTCCTGCAGCAACAACCTGTAGCACTCAGTCATAACACAGTCATGGCTACCTTTATTGGCTTTGTGTAAACTCGAAAAATAGCCATAAAAGCATGTCTCTTTTGGGCAGACCCACCATTTTCCTTTTCCAGGAGAAGGCACGGATCCTGCCCTCAGCTATGTCACCAGCGTGCCTTTATGCACTACCCAAACTGCACACGGCCTGTGTCTGAGCCTACTGGAGGATTCCCACACAATTCTTTTATCACTCAGCTCAATCAGAGAGCTGGCATCAGGACAGGATTAACTGAGACCACTAAAGATAGAGAGAAAGCACACAAAGGTGGGCTTCCAGTCTCGTGCATCCAGCAGAACGCTATCGTTGAGGAAGCCAGGCCAGACATTGCTTATACAGAATCATGGCATTTTAAAGCAGCCAATTAGCAAACTCCTCTTGAAAAAGGAGGAGCAGCTCTCTCCACGAAAGGTGAGCCTCATTCCTCTGAGCCACCTTAAGAGCAATCTGGAGACGAGGTAGAGAGCTTGATGCTGAAGGAGGTCACAATGTCCCATGCAGATGCCACCACAAGCCCTGACCCCTTGGTTCGAGAACATGCTCCAGGCTAAAGTTCTCCCTGAGAAAGGACTCGGCACTGTCACTGGACTCCACAGACGGAGGCTGCATCATTCTGGTCCCGGGGCTCCTGTGCTGGCTGCACAGTGAATGCCTCCCTCTGGACTGTAGTGGACACGGCCACAGCGCAACTGTGGCTCCTCCTCCTCATACCAGCGCTGTTCACTGAAGTCAGGGAAGAAGGCTGCAATCTCTCGCCGGGCTGAGACCACCGAGTCTGAAAGGGAGGTAAGACAGAGAAAGGGCTCTCATCAGGAGTGTGGAAAAGAGGCATGAGGCAGTCACAATCAGGCTCAGGAAACTGGCTTCTATTTCTGCCAAGTCCTCGGGCATGTCAAGGAAATCCAGAAGCTGTATCTGCTGAGATGGCACAACAGGCCAGAAGTAAAAGTGGGAGGCAGAGAGATAATACAGCAGGCAAGGAGCTTGCCTTGCCTTGCATGCAACTGACCCAGGTTTGATCCCTGGCACCCTGAATGATTCCCTGAGCCGCCAGGAATGATCCCTGAGCACAGAACAAAGAGTATGCTCTGAGTACTAAAATAAATAAGTAAATAAATAAATAACACTTTAAAAAAGAAGCAAGAAAGAATGGAAACTGGCAAGAAAGCTCAATGCTCAGTGGGGGTACCTAGCTCTCAGCCCACCAGTCTGCCCACTGACCCTAAGCCACCTTCTCTTACTTTCAAATGTGGCCAAGGGAGGAAAACTTACCAGAGCCATGAGTGGTGTTGCGGGTGTCAGTGAGGCCGAGACTCCCACGAATTGAATCTGGGGCCATATAGCGTGCTTGAAACACTCTGGTTGGCCCCATCAGTTTCCTCCAGAATTGGATGGCATCCTCGTGGGCAAGGATGTAGGCTCGGATTGGCCCACTGGGAACAAAAGAGCATGGGTTAGGAGCCTGGCCAAGATGGCTTGAGAGTGCGTACTGTGAGCAGGGCAGAAAAAACCGCACACTGGACAGCCCATCTTTCTCTGCCTTCCTAGCTGAGTACCAACACTCCTGCTTCAAATGCAAGGGGATGGAGGGCCACTGCTGACATCACAGAGATCAACATAACTGCTAGGGAGCATTCAGTAATTACATATCCCGAGTTGGAATGCAGATGACCCCTGAGGGAAGCACTTCACCAATATTCTTATACAGCATTAAACAAGGAACCACTATGTAACAGGGGGCCAGCAGGTCAGCGGTGGCTCCATTAGCCTGTTCGAATTTTTTTTGTATATATTTTGGGAGGATACACCTGACAATGATCATGGAGCAACCCCTCCTGGTTCTGCACTGAAGAATTACTCTTGGAGGTGCTTGGTGGGATGCTGGGATCGAACCAGGGTTGGCCACGTGCAAGGCAAGTCCCCACCATGTTTCTTTACACATCAGACACTGATACCAACTTTAGAGCAGCAGGTACAATTTATGAATCTATTCTGGGGTCAGGGAATATATATTCCAGTGAATTAAGATGGTGGAACCACACTTGCGCATGTTTCTCCCACCCCACCACTTGTTCTCTTGCTCTTTCTCTCTCCCCACCCCTTCCTCAAAATTTCGAAATAAAACTTGCTATACTTAAAAAAAAAAAAAGATACTCAGACCAAAATTAGAAGTACCTGGCCATGAACTCCACCAACCGCTGATAGAAAAAACGCCCTGCAAAGACAGAGGACCTTCATCAAGACACTGACATCTAAGGGAGCTTTCTGCCTTCTTACTCAGAAAAAGAAAAGAAAAGAAAAGAAAAGAAAAGAAAAGAAAAGAAAAGGGGCCTCAGAATCTAACACACCTTGGATCTGAATTCAGGCTCGACCACACTTGCAACCAGTAAAGTTTTAGGTAAATTATCCAATCTGTAGACTGAGGACATAACAACACCTGTCTCATAGAGCTATTTATTAGAGAACTAAAGGAAAGTCTATATGCACTAGAACACCAGTTGACAGAGTAAATACCAAACGGATCATTCAATGTTACCAGGACAAATATTAAGTTTTTGGTTGGGACTATGAAGTAAACCTTCATGGAAGAACAAACGTTTTAAATTCCAATAATCATGAGAAAGTGTGTATAAACTCAAGATCTGAGGAGACTGATTGCAACTGGACAAGTGGCACATTGGAAAGTCTGTTATTGGCATCCAGATAAAATCTCCCTAGCTTGCCTTTTGGGAGTCTCCTGTTCAGAGGACTGTTGGTCTTACCTTCATGCTCCTGGTAAAATCTCTGGCAGTCTTCTTTCCTCCACAGAAGTTCTCTCATTCTGACGATAAGGAACTTGTTGCTCAGAATCTGCTGATGAATAGCCTGGATAAACACCCCCCCCAGAGATAGAAATCAGTCAATAGGACCATATGAGTGAGTAGGAAATCCAAGGACCGTATGAGTGAGTAGGAGATCCAGTATGACTAAACTGAGGTCTCCTGGGAGCTCACACCTTCAGGATCTATCCTGTTGGTGGATCAAGAGAGAAATAAGCGTGAGGAGGTAAAGTCACATGGTGCAATCCTCAGGTTAAGGGGGGGGGGGGGGCGTCCTTCCCAACACCCCTCTTAACTCCAGCCCATATTCTTCTGCATCCCAGTGGGCTTACTTCACCGTGCTGCTCAGCTAGTACTTGTGGGCCCAGGGCAGGCATTATCTTAAACAGACCATAGCCTAGTCCCACCAAGATTCCACGCCCTAATCTCCAGGATTGTAAATGTGAAGCAGTATGATTATAATACTAGCACAAGGATTTTGCAGGTGTGATTAATCTTACTAATCACTTGACTTTGCTTTAAATGAAAGGGAGGTTATTCAGATTGTCCTAATTAATTAGCGGGCTTTTTTTTTTCCATACTCAGCAGTGCTTGGGGGACCAAATGGGGTGAGGGAATCACACCCAGGTTGGCCAACATGCAAGGTGGGAACCTTACCCACTAACTCTCAGTACAGATAGATAATTATCTATATAACTATCTATCCCACACAGGCTCTTTAAAAGAGAGTTTGGGACCAGATTAATAGCTCATCGCTGAGTGCATTCTTTGCATGTGGGAAGAGGAGGTTCGATCCCCACCACTGCATGTCCTCAAGCACTGCTGGGAGTAACCCCCAAGCACAGGCAAAAAAAATCCAAACCGTGCTGTTTTATCTAGTTGGGAGCTATAGAAGTCAGGAGGGATTTGAAGCATGAGAAGTATTTGATGCATCTGCAGTCTTAAAGATGGATAACAATATGTGATGAGGAATGCGAATGCTCTCGAGAAAATGAGCTGTTCCCACTGAAAGGCCACAAATGGGGAATTCAGCACTATAAGCAAAGAAGGCAAATCGTGGCAAGCACCTAAATGAGTTTATAAGTAGTTTCTTCCCTCCACATAATAGTACAATCTGCTGGTACCTTAACTTTGGCCTTGGGAGAAGTTAAGGAAAGAACCCAGTGAAGGCTACTGGCCCTTCAACTTCAAGAACTGTGAGTTAATTAAATAAGCCTGTTTATTTTACTTAGTTAGGTTTTTGGGGCCACACCTGGCCGTGCTCAGGGGTTACTTCTGGCTCTTGACTCAGGAATTACTCCTGGCAGGAGACCATATAGTATTCCAGGGACTGAACCCGGATCAGCTGTGCTTACATGGTAAATGTTCTACCCTCTGTACTATTGCTCAGGTCCCTATATGAGCATTTTTAAAATGTTACCAAATCTGTGGTAATTTGTTATGTAGCACATGAAACTAATATATACACAATGTCTTGAGGTTTGGTGCTACTTTTTCTTGGTCTTTGGGTCACACTTGAAGATGCTCAGGCATTACTCCTGGCCCTGCACTCAAGAATCACTCTTTGTGGGGACCATATGGGATGCTGGGGATTGAATTTGGGTTTGCTGCGTGCAAGGCAAGTGCCTTACCCGCTGTACTACCTGTTTGGCCCCAAGATTTGGTTCTTATCATTGTATTGGATTCTTTCCTATAATTTATATCAGCTCCAATTCTCCGAGAGATTTCTAGAATTAAGGTAAGAGTCCATGGTTTCTGTTTTCCCCTTTAGAGCATCTAGCACAGGACTGCGCCACCAGTCTTCACAACTGGCCTGAAAGAGAAGCAGAGTGTGAAACCTGAAAGAGAAGCACTGCCCAGGGCCTATGGGAGAGGCTTAGCATTCATTCTTACCTCTAGCATGAGTGGGTGAGCAACGGCATCAGGCTTGATCAGGGCCAGAGTGAGCTGGAGAGCCTGAGGGCTTCGCAGGATTGAGGTCATCTCTCCTGCCATCAGAAAGCTGGTCAGGGCCCCGTAGGTGCTGCAGTCCCACCCTCCCTGCTCTGGAGCTCTGCAGCTTCCTAAGCCACCAGGGCTCACTCTTCTGACACTCATAAAGCACAGGACAGTAACACAATAGGATTGCACATTATTATTAGTTTGGTGGGGGGAGGTTGGGGCCGCGTCCAGTAGTGCCCAGGAGCTCTGTGCATAGGGATCACTCCTAGAAACGCTTGGGAGGCCATATGTGGTGCTGGGGATCTAACTGGGTTTGGCTGCATGCAAAAATAACCCCTGTAGTATCCCTGTGGTTTCACATTATTGTTGTTCTGCCACATATGGCAGTGCTCAGGGGCTACTACCAGCTTGGCATGCCACTCCTAGGGGAGCTAAGGTGACCATGCATAGCTGGGGAATGAACTCAGTGTTCTCACAATATAATGCATGTGATCCAGACCTTTGACCCATCTCCCTGGCCCCTATCTTATCGTATTAAAGTGCTTATGGAATTGAGGGAAGAGAGCAGTACAGGGTGTTATTCAAGTTGCTCTGTGGAATATTTTTATGTTTTCATTTGTGCGACTGTAAGCTTTCAGAGGAATTACCAATTCAAGAGAAATTAAAATGGGCCACACTAGCTGTACTCAGGGCTTACTCCTCGCTCTGTGCTCATGGGTAACTCCTAGAGAGGTTTGGGGGACCATATGAGGTGCCGGGGAGCAAGCCCAGTTGGCCACATGACAGACAAGTGCCTTATCCACTATACTATTGCTCTAGGCCCAATTTCCATTATATTCTATAGGGGATTTACAATTTAAGCTCTGAAACAGCTTGGTGATGATGGTATAGTATGCATTTCCACTAGTGAGTCCCTTTTATCCCATAGTACTTACCCATTATGTCTAAATGAGGACTGGGGGGCCAGAAAGATAGCTCAAGGCACATGCAATGGTTCAAGTTCAACCCCTGGCAGTCCTATAAGCACTGCTGGGAGCAAACCTTGGGCACACGGTAGGGAATAGATCCAGAGCACTACTAGGTGTAAACCCAGACTAAAACAACAATCACACCCCCTATCTCCAGTCCCCCCCAAAACCCTGGAAGACTGAGTGAACAAGAACTGAAATGTTGCTGTTAACCTAATGTCAGCTGGGTACACAGTAAAATATTTCTTTCTTTTTTCCTCCCTTTTTCGGGCTGGAGCAATAGCACAGCGGGTAGGGCGTTTGCCTTGCATGCGGCCAACGGGGCCCACCCGAGTTCGATTTCTCCGCCCCTCTCGGAGAGCCGGGCAAGCTACTGAGTGTATCTCACCCACACGGCAAAGACTGGCAAGCTCCCTGTGACATATTCGATATGCCAAACACAGTAACAACATGTCTCACAATGTTACTGGGCCCACTGGAGCAAATCGATGAACGATGGGAGAAAGGAGCTACAGTGCTACAGTACTTTTTTCCTCCCTTTTTCAGCCACACCTAGCAGTGCTTAGGGTTTACTCCTGGCTGTGCATCCAGGGATCACTGCTGGCAAGCTTGGGGGATCATATGGGATGTTGGAAATTGAACCTAGGTTGGCTGTGTGCAAGGCAAGCACCTTATCTACTCTACCCTTGCCCTGGCGCCACCATTTCTTATCTAATCTAATATCTAGGTCAGGATCTTCTCTGCCCAAATAAAAAAATCTTATAGGCAGGCAACTCCTGGGTCAGAGAGTAGTTGCAATGATTTTGTATCTGAAATAACAGAAACAGTGCTGGTACAGAAGTGTTTCATCAGTTATTAATTATATTCATCTTTGTATTTCTAGTATTTAGCTAAGCATAAGAGTTCAATAAATAATGGTGGACATGATGCACTAAACGCAAATCATTTTATAAACTGAGCTAAGGGAGATTTAAGTCTCTACCAAGTGTAATATGCTATTACATGTGAGAAATCAATTACCTCTGCAGATGTGATTGAACTTAAGGATTAGATCTTTTACATGGTGAAACCCCCAAATTTGCTAACAAATACATAAGGCTCTATAAATAGTATCTGGACAAAACTCAAATAATCTCTTATTTATTTATTTATTTATTTTTGCTCAGGGGTTACTCCTGGCTCTGCACTTAGGAATTACTCCTGGCAGTGCTTGCGGGACCACATGGGATGCTGGGGATGAACCTGGGTTGGCCACATCCAAGGCAAACGCCCTACCCGTTGTACTATATTGTTCTGGCCTCTATCTCTTATCCTGAAATACAACCTGAATCATGTTAAAGGTGATGCTAGGATCAGGCTGAACTGAAGAAACTACACTAGGGTTCCTTCTACTCTTGTCTTTTTGCCATTTTCCAGTTTGAGGCTCCAACTCCTACCCATGGTAAGCCCAGGCTAACCAGGATAAGATCAGCCAATCAATCCTCTTTTACACAGGCAGTGAGAAAAGCAAGAGTAAGCTGAATCTCTGCCATACCTCTAAAGAGAGTGATTCCCTGACACCTTCCTTCCCTTACCTTCCATTCACACGGCATTACCAAGCTCTGGCAGTTCTACAATTCTTCAGTTTCTTTCCCTCTCGATAGTTCCCACTCCAGTTCAAGACTTCATGGCTGAAGAGGCAGTACACCATGGAGAGGGTTTGCCTTGTACATGGAGCGCACCAGGAGTGATTCCTGAGTACATCCGAATGTGGCCAAAAAAAAACAGGAAAAAAACCGAAACAGATTATTTTCTTTCTTCTTGGATTTCTGCACAGCCTTCTTTACTGGTCTCTCACTTTCTATTCTATTTTTTTTTTGGGGGGGGAGGGAAGAGGGAAGGCACAATCTGCTTTGCTCTGGGTTTACTCCTGTGCTCAAGAATCACTCTGGTGGGGCTCGGGGACCATACATGGCATCAGGAATTGAACCTGTGTTGGCTATGTACAAGGCAAGCACCCTATTCACTATACTATTACTCCAGCCCTCAGTTTCTACACTTGCCACGCTCTACAATCTGCTTTCCACAATAAACTAAAAATGCAGGGTTTTTTTGGGGGGGGGGGGTTGGGGCCACACCTGGCAGTGCTCTCCTGGCTCTGTACTCAGGAATTACTCCCGGTGATGCTCTGGGGACTTTATGGGATGCCGGAGATCCAACCCATGAATGTTGCGGGCAAGGCAAACACTTTTGCTCCAGTCCCTAAAAATGAACGTTTAATGATATGGTTCTTCTCCTGAACCCTTTCACATGTAACCTGCTTTTGTGATAACCCCCAAATCGTGGCCTGCCTAACCTTATCAATTCTCATGCCTGCTCTCAAGCTTCATCTGGACCGTCATACTCATTAATTTACTTCTACTCCTGACTATGGGTCTCACAGCTGAGACCTTCTGTTCAGAGAGCCTCTGGGTGAGAAGTTTTTGCCCTCCAGAATCTGCCGACTGTGGTTACCTCTCATACCAGACCTTACCTCTCACTTCCCCTTACATTTCCTCCTGGCTCCTAGCAAGTTTTCTTGTTATGTGTTTTTGTCCTGAAGGTCACTTTCAGGAAAGCAGGGATCTGTTCTGCTTACTATCCTAATCTCAGTATCTACGCAAAGTACTTAGGGCTCGCCTTCAACAGTATCTGTTGAATGAATTGGCGAATGAACCAGATTGAGCTATTCCAAGGCCATTCTGGGGCTCTCCAGTGGAGGACGCGGTTCTAATGCCATCGAAGTCATGGCTGGCTTGGCGTTTGGGTTACAAAAAATGCTGACAGGTCAATGAAATCTGCTCAAAGTAAAGGTCACTTCATCGTAAAATTACGAATTTCAAAAGTTGCCTGGGCGTTTTGAGGCCTAAAACCCAAACATCCATTCCTCTCCTCTGGGAGGGTGGGAGCCAAGCTCCAAGTTTTCCCTCCAGGGCGGAGGCCGGCAGCCCCTAAAACTCCGCCTCCGACCCCCAACATCGAAAGCCCCGCCCCACAGCCCTTTGACTTACAGCCTGAACTGCTGATTTGGCCCCTACCCCACCTCTGGCCCACTTTCTGCAAGTCTGCAGCCGCGCCATCTCTACCCCTTGTACTCGGGGCACAGAGCTCACCCCAGATGCTGGATTATTTGGAGTCTAGCAGGAGTTTAGGTCCGGATTCACCTGGCCCTCCTGTCGCTGGGCCCGCCACCAGGCACCGCACTAGCCACCCTATGAGATGCGAGCGGGGTCTTTCAGGCAGTTGAACGGGCAGCCCCTGCTGGGAGGGGCCTTGCGGTGAGGCCAGGACCGGCGAGCGAGTGGGCGTGGCCACGCTTGGTGGGCGGGGCGGGACGGAGCTGCTGGCCCGGCCGGCGGCGGCGGTGTAGAGCTGCGCGCCCTCTGGCTTGCGGTAGGACTCGGCTGGCGTTTGGCCGCGGGCGGCTGAAGTGACTGGAAGAGAGTTTCTAGGGGGTCCTCTGGCCTGGCGTTGATTTTTTTTTCTTTTTGGGTCACACCCGGCGATGCACAGGGGTTACTCCTGACTTTGTACTCAGGAATTACTCCTGGCGGTGCTCAGGGGACCTTATGGGATGCTGGGAATCGAACCCGGGTGGCCGCGTGCAAGGCAAACTCCCTACCCGCTGTGTTACCGCTCCAGCCACCCCCCCCCTCCCCGGCGTGGATCTTGCCCGACTCTCTTTCTCCTCCAGTCTTTGTAGTGGGTCATGCCTGGCACATGGTTGGCGCCCAGTGTTTGTGGGCGGCTGGCGGTGGTCAAGAGGCTTATTGTTCTCAACCCACTCGCTATATTGTCTGTTGCTCGGGCTCAAAGTTCTGCTTTTCTTCTTGGACTTGCTCGGCTTATGTGATTCCTGGAGACCCTTCCTGACACAGGCTTTTCTCTTCACTGTTTTAACCATTGTGACTGTTAATTTCATTGAGTGTTTTTATTTTTCTGCGTTGTTCTAAGGAGAGCATATTTTAATTCGTAATAAGGGCACCCTTTTATTTTCTTTTGCCCTGTTTCGTTTTTGTTTACACCACCCCAAATGATGTGCTTGACACGTCATGCAGTGACAGGGCTCGAACCTGGGGCTTTGTGCCTGGTGGGAGGGTATGGGCTCCAGCCTGGTGCTCCACCTCTCCGGTCCTTTCATGTTCATTATAAATAAATCCCACCACCTTTTTACTATGGGAATTGCAGTGTAACCCTCATAACTCCAAAACTTTGTCTACAATTACTGACAAACAGGTGGAGAGTGACCCTTAAACTGTTATCAAACCCAAGTTTCTAGTTTGGGCACCCGCTGAAGGCCAATTACTTGAAAGACAAGAGTTGATTTGAGAACGCATGTCCTACACCCCACAGAGATTTTTTTTTCCCCCACAGAGATTTTAATGCTCAATTGGAATTTGCTGGTTGGGAAAGGAAACGAGAAGTTTGAGGTCGTGGGCAAAGCAGGGAGTTCTTTTCTTTTTATTTTTAAATTTTTTTTATTTTATTGAATCACCTTGAGATAGTTACAAGCTTTCATGTTTGGGTTGCAATCACACAATGATCAAACAGCCATCCCTCCACCAGTGTATTTTCCCCACCACCAATATCCCCGGTATACCCCCCCTTTCCCACCCTCCCCCTGCCTCCATGGCAGATAATATTCCCCTTCATACTCTCTCTACTTTTGGGCATTATGGTTTGCAATACAGACACTGAGAGGTTATCATGTTTGGTCCTTTATCTACTTTCTGCATACATCTCCCATCCCGACTAGTTCCTCAAGCCATCATTTTCTTAGTGATCTCTTCTCTATTCCAGCTGCCTTCTCCCGTTTGCTCATGAGGCAGGCTTCCAATATGGAGCAATCTACCTGTCTCATGTATCTACTGTCCTTAGGTGTCAGCCTCATGTTATGTTGTTTTATACTTCACAAATGAATGCAGTCCTTCTATGTCTGTCCTTTTCTTTCTGACTCATTTCACTTAGCATGATACTCTCCATGTCTATCCATTTATAAGCAAAGTTCATGACTTCATCTCTCCTGACAGATGCATAGTTTTCCATTGTGTAGATGTACAGCAGGGAGTTTGTCTCCACACTGTTCATGCTGGCGTTGGTGGTTAGTGGATCCTTAGAGAATAGGTAGCTGTTTCTTGTGGCATGAGAGGCAATAAGCCTTTTCCAGAGTCTGCATACTCACCCTGAAGAGTCCTTTTAGGGTTACTATTGTTGGTTTCTCTAAGGGAGAGAGGACTTTGGGTATGATAAGCCCCAGGAGTGTTCTCTGAGGATCTGTTGTTACTCTCAACGCACAACCATGGCTGACCTGAGTTTGATCCCTGGCACCCAAAATGGTCCCCAGAGTCTACCAGGAATAAGTCCTGAGCACCTCTGGATGTGGCACCAAAAATAACAACAAAAAAAAATAATTCCCAACTCTAGTCCCTGATCCTTCCCCTTCATCCTATTTCCTAACCCAAATCACTGACAGGGGTCTAATTTATTTGACTTGTAACCTATTTATAGCTCATAGTTTTACTGTGACTCATTCATTTCTCAAGATGGCCTTATAATTCTGACCTTTGAACTTTAAACTCGAGTCCTAAGCTTTAGGTCTTGGCCCTAGTCCTTATCTAACCCAGCTTACTTTTCTACTATAAAGTTACTATCCTTTTTTTTTTTTGGATGGGGAAGGGGTTGGTTTTGTTTTATTTTTATTTATTTTTTTTTGCCATATTCAGGGTTCTCAGGACATATTCCTAGCTCTGCGCTCAGGGATTACTCCTGGAAAGTTTGGGAGACCATACGGAGTGCCTGGGATAGAACCCAGGGGGGCCATGTTCAAGCTAAGCACTCTACCCACTATACTGTCACTTTTCCCACCCTCTCTTCCCTCCTCATGCATTATTTTGTGAAATTTTCTATTACTCTTTAGTTTCTCTTTCATGTTTTTATTCTGAATCATGGGGTTCAAGGAACCATGTGTAGTGCTGAAATCGAACCCAGGTTGACCACATGCAAGGCAAGTGCCCTACCCACAAGTGCTCTCCAGCCACATCCCCTCCATTTTCTTATCATGAGCAATGACCACATAAATACAAATGAAGAAACTCATGCCTCCAAAAAGGCAATACTTACAATCTGAGAGTTTTCATCACTACTGAGCTATATTTGTGTCATATGAATGACCTGGGTTTCAATGCATTATAATCTGATTTGAGAAATTTCAACAATATCATAAAGGAGATTCAGAGTTTTATTCAAAGGAAGATCAGTAAGCACAATACTTGGAATAATACATCATCATAATAAGTTTCTAATTACTCACAAACGCTGACTCATTTAAGTCTCACCACACAAAACTTAGATGCCAGGGAAGGCATCAAGCTGATGTTGATGGTCTGAGGAGAAGAAGTTCATTGGAGGGCAGATTTGTGAAGTATATACCTGACCATTGATCAGAGTCTCTTTGCAAAGTCTGGTCATCTAAAGACTGGACATTCCTCACATACTTTCTTTTCATTTAAATACTTGTTCCAAACTTAAATTTTTATAGCATGGGGCTCTCCAGCAGTGCTCAGTGGTCAAAGGCTACTGTCTACAGGAGTGATCCCTGAGCACAGAGCACAGAGTCTCCTGAGTATTGGTGGGTGTGACTCCAAAACTAAACCTAACCAAAAACAAAATTGTCTAGTAAATAAAATAACCAAACATCAACTCAAAACTTAGATGCCAGGGAAAGCATCGAGCTGATATTAATGGCCTGAGGAGCAAGAAGTTGACTGGAGGGCAGACTTGTGAAGTGTATGCCTGACCACTGACCAGAGTACTTGAGCAAAGTCTGGTCATCTAAAGACTGGACATTCCTCAAATATTTGCATTTCATTTAAATACTTGTTCATATAGTTAAGGAATGCTTAACTAGTTAACCACTAAACTAATGGAAGAGTCTTTAGTGGCAATTCACAAAAAGAGAATATAGACTTGTTGTCAGAGCAATATTACAGCAAGTAGGTCACTTGCCTTGCACACAGTTGACCTGGATTCAATGCCCAGGAATGATCCCTGAATGCAGATCCAGAAGTAAGTCCTGAGCACTACTGGGTATGGCACCAATCCCCCCAAGTCCCCCCACAAAAAAGAAGAAAAAAAAAGAGTGAACTAATCTAGTGTCCAAGTCATGTAGTTTGAGTAAGAGAGCATAGTACCACTAATATTTGTAAAAGATTTGTATTAACCAAGAGAAATGTTTGCCAGCCAGATTTTCTGCTGAGAGTCATTTATTAAAAAGCAAATCAATGAGTTTGATCACAATTGTTGATTTTCTTTAGCATTCACCTCTAAGTGGACTATACTTAAAGAGCCAAATTGATCATCTGGGGATTCAGCAAGTTCTATAATTCTCATGGTGAGTTTAGGCAACTTCCTGTAAGAGAAGTATAAATAAATAAGTAAATAGATAAATAAATCAAACTTGGGGAAATTAAGAGATAACTACCACATTTGTAACTATATCCATAGTTTATTTAGATGAATGTTAAATAATTATTCTGTATTAAGACAGGCAAGAGAAATTCCAATTTCATTGGAGAGAAAACAACAACAACAACAATGGAAGTGAGCAGAAAAGAGGAGAGCTAAGGATGTCGAAGCCTATGTGAATCCTGGGAAAATTAATGGGAATTTTCACTAGGCAAAAAGGTTGTGAGTAGAGACAGCGAAGCAGAGGCTGGTCAGAGGCATAGCTGGGTCTTTAGGAAGCACAGGAAGTTAAAGACCAGTGTCTGGGGACTGACTAGCTAGGTTCAAGAGTCAGTCCTGTCAGTTCCCAGCATTGTGGCATTGGGCAAATCACATTCCTCTCTAGACCTCTGAATCATTGAACAACGCATGTAGCTAATAGCAATACCTCCCACATGGTGGAGTCTGTGAGGAGTACAGGAGAGGAGAGGAGTTAATGACAGAACCTGGGACTGGGGAGATAGGTCAAAGGGTGGGGTATAATCTTTGCATGTGTGAGATTCCACATTTGATCCCCTGAGCTCCACCAGGCTTAACTCTCCTGGCTCCCAGCACTGCCCAGACAGTGCTGTATCATCAGACCTGAGTACCCAACTAGGCCAAGTTAGTCTGGAGTTTCCTCTGTGCTCAGAGATCACTCCTGGTGGTGCTCAGAGGACCAGATGAAGTGCTGGGAATCAAACCTAGGTCGGTCACATATA